ATTCATTTTCTGATGGCCAGCCAGGCCAAAATTAAAGTATTAATTTTACAAAAGTTGGAATAATAGTGTAACTGTATCCTCTTCATAAAGTCATCAGTAGGTTTGTTTCTTTTTCATCTGAAGCACTACTTGAAAAAGTCTAGAATTTTCCAGGATTTTTTTTGGCTTGGCAAAAGCCTGATACATACTTCCTTTGATGAGTGAGTGGTCTTTTCCTTGCTTCCATCTATTTGTGTTCACAAGAATTTTATTTTCTCTTTTTGATGAGGAAAGAGAGTACACTGAGTTATATCTCTTTGAAATGTCAAAACCATCAGGATATTAGGAGATGTCTGGTAGAATGATTGTGATGAAGATCAGGTGTCAGCAATGAACAAGCCACTCCACTTCCAGATTGAACTCATCATCTAGAAAGAGGAAGTGTAGTTTGATGAGCTGGAACTCATAGCAGGGTCCTCACTGATCGAGTAAGCCCTGGTCCTGATTCAGGGTCTGGGTCTCCTCTGTTCCTGTTTACCCTGTCACTCAGGGTGTGACTTTAGGAAAAGAACACCAAGGAATTTGAACTGGAATGATTTGTTGGTGATGGGTAGAATGAGGAGCCAAGACCTACTCCAACCTAAGCCCCTGAGACTGGGTATAACACCGGAGAGAACAAGAAGGATGAACACATGAGACTGTCCAGAGACAGCAGTTACAGAGATGGACTTTAAAGGATCCATCTCCATACTGGCACACTTTTGTCAACAGAAGAGAGAAGACTTAACACCCGAGCCAGGATAATCATTCCTGAATGTTGTGGGGAGGGCGGGAGATGAAAGATCCCAGAAGAAAGCTGGATTTCTGGCTCACAGACATAATTTGAACATCAGAGAAAAGTCCATTTGAGTTTATGTGATGTACTCATGATTGAGATGAGGTTACGTAGTTTTGGAAAAAATACCATAGAAATAATATTTGTGTCCTTTTAGTACATCATGTCGAGTTTCATGATGTCACTATGCTTGATTACTAGTGATATTAACCTCGATCAATTAATTAGGGTATATATTAGTGTTCTCTAGATGAACGGAGCTAAGCAGAGAGAAAATGCTGGAGTTGAGGAGCGAAGAGAGAAAATGTGAAATTGGTTCACATATTTGGTGAGGTCAACAAGTCCCCAGATCTGCAGTTGGCCAGCTGGAAACACAGGGCAGTTTCAATCAAAGTCCAAAGGCCTGAGAACCAAGAGACTCAGTGGTATAAATCCCAGGCTAGAAGTTGGCAGTACCAGGGCCAGTGTTTTAGTTGGAGACAAAAAGTGGGTGAAAATCAGTGTCTCAGCTAGGAGAAAGAGAGGGAGAAGCAGTTCCTCTTATCAGATTTTAAAATTCTACTTAGGCTTTCACCCAACTGATGAGGTCTGTCCACACTGAGAGCAACAGGCAGCTTTATGCTGCCTATCAATTCCAGTGCTAACCTCATCCTGAATTATCCTCGATCACTCCAGTGTTTGACCAAGCATGTGAGCCTCCTGGGGTCCAGTCAAGTTGACACATAAAATTAAGTGTCCCCAGGGGGATCATCTGATTGTTTCATTGTAAAATCACTATCTCTGTAAATATGATTAGTACAAATGCCAAAATCACAGAACACAAAGAAAGAATGAGGAACTTTTATAACTGGGTAAAATTAAGGAGAAATAACAGTTGATTGCAATGTGAAATTGGAAAATAAACCATTAAAAAAACCCATTGAAATTGGTATATGATATATGGCTTAATTACTTGCTTGTACCAATGTTAATTTTTAGATTTTAATGATTCTACTATGCTTATGTAAGACGTACAAAAGCAGTTCAAAATAAAGCTTTGAAAATTTGTTTTGACTATTATTGTGTATGCTCCCCTATAGCATACATTGTAGTACCTTCCACAGTGTCCTGGACTCTGCTTCTGGCTGCTTTCTAGCCACAAGAAGGCACCTAGGTCATTCACACTGAGGCAAACTTCTCTGATGAGGAACACCTTACCCAGGCTTCCTTACAACTCAGTAAACCATGACTGGTCATGTTCCATTGCATCCCAGAGGGCTTCCATATGGATTGTGTTGAAATTCAATTGAAGTAACCCTCCATTGACCAGTGGGGTGCTGGTAAATGTTCAACAGCTGATTCTGGAAAAATCTCCTAATTAATGATGTTCACTAAGCAATTCCATGGCTGGTTTGAAGCTACTAGTATGACATTGCTGAATGTTAAATTGGGAATATGTACAGTAGTGAGCCATTGTATTTTGACTATGCAATTACAATAGTGATAAATGGCTTGGTGATGATAGATACTAGTGAAACAACTAGAAGTAATGATGAATATCTTTGCTTTTAAAGCACAATTTAGTGGAAAGTTTATGTATAAGTGTACACTGCATTATGATGTTTCTATCCATGATAGATGGCATATACCATGGTTGCCCCATAAGATTAGAAGGAGTCTATTGCCTGGTGCTGTCATGGCATAAAGCATTACTTGCATGTTTGTGGAGATGTTGGTGTAAACACACCTGCCATGCTGCTAGCCCTGTGAAAGTATAGAATGCATAATTACGTGAGATGCATAATACTGGATAATGAGAACAAGAGCATAGTACGTGGGTTTATGCATTCACTATGCTATACTTTTATCATTGTTTTAGAGTATGTGTTTTCTATTTATATGTGTCTAAAAGTGTTCTGTAAAGAAGTATGCAGTGTTACACCCACAGCAGCCTCAAATGTTTTGGGTTGACTGTAACTTATTTTCATCATATTGTCTTATGCTTGATTTACTCTCCTGTCCTTTTGCTCATCACGGCCCCAAAGTGTACCAAATTTACCCCAAATGTTGCCAGTAAACATCTATGGTACATGATGGAAGTGGAAACAAAATTAAAAGTGATTAAATAGAAAGGTGGAAAATGATTGATGGGTATTACCCACTAGCCAGTCGTTTCCACTTTGCCATATCTATGATCTTGAGGAACAAGAACAAAGTGACAGAAGCCATTGGAGGATATGCTTCATTAAAGACAACAAGACTAACAAAAATTTCAGAAGGGCTTATACAAAATATGTAGTGGCTTCTAAGGACCTGGACTGGAAACAAACAGATGTGTGAAGGTCTAGCTGGGCTACATTATCCATGTTTGTGTAAGTTCACTCTATGGTGTCCACATAGTGATACAATCACCTAATGATGCTTTCTCAGAATGTATCCCTATTGTTAAGTGATGCATACTTGCAATTTAATTTTCATCAATGGCTGTGCTTAACAACTGGCTTACAAAATTGAAATTTTAAGTGTTGGCTTCCACTAGTTGGTACAAGCTGGCTTCTGCACATGTCTGTAATGTGAATATACCTTCATGGGCTTTCCACCCCTTCTCTGCCAAACTCCCCACTTCCTTTCCACACTTCCTGATATTACTTTCTAAAATCAACTGCTTGCATCTAAGTCTGCTTCAGAATCTACTGTCAGGCAATCCCAAACTAGGTAGAGGCCAACACATTTTTAGCACATACTAGAATTTTAGATTTTTCTTTACCATAACTGGGAAGCGGCTGTTCTATTGTACCATTAAAAAATAATAGTAATTGGTAGTATTATCGAGCATAGTTATCCCTCTCTATCCATAGGTTCTGTACCTACAGATTCAATGAATTATGAAGATACTAGGCAGGTATAAATCACGTCTGTACTGAACATGCATAGAAGTTTTTTGTTGTTGTTGTTGTTTTTATTACCAGGGATCAAACTCAGGACCTTGTGCTTGCGAGGCAGGCACAGTGCCACTGAGCTAAAGCCCTGGCCCCCCATAGTTTTTTTAAATGTCATTTTCCCCTAAGCAATACAGTATAACAACTATTTACATCTCATTTGTGTTGTATTAGTTACTATAAGTAAATAGAGAAGATTTCAATACATAGATTATGTAAAAATACCATACCATGTTATGTAAAGAAATCGAACATCCGCAGATTTGGGTAACTGAGTGGATTCTGGGACCCACCCCTTTGAAGAGACAAGTAGATTTACACTGTGCTAAGCACTGAACTAAATTCTAGGTGGATCTAGTGTGAAGAGCTCCATATTATAGATGAAAAAAACTGACATGTAGGGTCATCAAGTCAATGTGTCCAAAGTCATAACATTGACAAGTGTCAGAGCAGATTGAGTTGAATTGTGGCCACAAGAAGGGCAGGGACAGATTTCTTTTAATGAGAGTGTCCTAAAGAGAAGCCACTGGGCTTCCTCCCATACAACCCCCTAGTCATGGATTATTGTCATTATAATTAATATTTATTATGGTCCTATGGCACCTTCAATGTCAATTTCAGTCTGCACTTCAATGAAAGTAAAGTGATGCACATGAGAGCAAACAGAAGATTTTTAATTTGGTAAAAGGAAGGAGCTTTGTGTGTTAAAGTTCTAGATCTCTACTGCAATTACTACACCAGCAGGTAACAAGCAAAAATAAATAAAAACCTAAGGTGTTTGCTTCTCTCCTTGGAAACCTTTATACCAAAAAGTAGAGATCAGCATTTTTAGACAGAGTTGAACTACTAGGTCATACAATGGATCTTTTTTTTGGTGGGGGGGAGCTTTCTGGTGAATTTAATATTAAAACCTAAGCAGACAGTACTATTATACTCTGAATATAAAAGAGTTCAAGTCAGCTAGAGATCCATTGTAGTTTTTTGATGTATGAATGATATGCCTATAGCTTGCTGCTTCTCGCCAAGTCTGAATATTAACTCAGGAAGCTTAGATAGAGTTTCCCAGACAACTAGATGACCTTTGAATATTTGAGAAGTGAGGTATTAATAATTAAATTGAACTGAACTGAATATTAAGTCTAACAGCAAGTAGAGTAAATAATTATATTCTATTGTTTTCCAAACATTAATGTACAGTTTCAAAATTTTTTACTGTAAAATCAAATAACCTTTAAAAAAACTTGGTAATCAGTATTTCCTTCATGAAGGCACTTGGATTTCCCAGAAGAAAATGAATTTTCTCCCCCTTTATTTCTATTCTGATCAGAAGAGCACTCTATGAAAACAAGGAAAAAAATGTGCCTATTTATGGAGGATACAATACAAAATTCACTCAGGTAAGTGCTACTGTTTCTCTGTTACCATCTTCTCTGTTTAAGGAACAGACTTTATCACCCTCAGCTAGGGCTGAGACCAGGGAAGTGAGACATCTATAGTACAATAGTTCGAGAGACAGTCACCCTCAGGGTAATGCAAGTGCTTGATCCAGCCATAGGGAAGCCAGCATATCCAGGTCAGACCTACCCCTCACATGTGAAATGAGTGCCTTAAATTCTGGCCTGTGACCATCAGCACACTGTCCTGCATACCATTCATTCATCTATTAATCCACTGAACAAATGTTCATTGAGCATCTGATACCTACCTTACTATTCTAGATCTTCAATAAATTAATATAAAATGTGTGGCCTTTGTGTCCTAAGGGAACAGAAAAAAATAAGTGAGACTTGTTATGGAATGTCAGAATGGGATAAGTACTTTGGCTAAGACAAAGGGTTAAAGGAAACCAGGAGTGCCAGAAAGAGTTAGGACATCTGCCAGAGGTGTCTTGATTTATGGAATTCAATGAGCACCTGTGAGAACACATTTGAGCAATGATTTGAAGGAAATATGGCATGAACTAGGTAGATAATTGGTGAGAAAGATTTCTAGGCAATTACAATGGCACATGCAAAGGCCCAAGGGCAGGAATATGCCTGATACATTTTAAAATCAGTGAAGAGCACAAATTGGCTAGGTGGAATGAGTAAGAAAATGAGCCAGGGAGATAAGGGAGCACATTTAGGACTTGCTGTACATTGAAAGCACTGTGAACTAACTTCGGAGATAAATGAAGGCCACTATGAGATGTTAAGCAAAGAGTGAGGGAATCTGTTCCAAGTTTAGCATAGACATTCCAGTTGCTCTGTTGATAATGGACTATGCATAAGAAATAGTAAAAGTGAAAGCAGGGAGACCAGACCACTTATGAGGCTATAGTGATGTTCTGATTGTACCACCCTGGTGATAAGCTGTGGTTATGTTCTTGACATTTTTTAAAGGTAGAACCACCAGAAAGTCCTGATGGATTGGATAGAAGCTAGGGCAGAGGGGTGTTGAAGGGAGCCTAAAGGTAGTTGGTGTGAGTTATCAGAAAGGATAGGAGTAGAACAAATTTACTCATATGAGTAAGCATATGAATAGAACAATTTCATGGGTGAAGACCAACATATTGATTCTGAATAAAGTTGAGATGTTTGCGATACATCTACTAGAAAATCTTGAGAAAGTGGTTGAATATGTGAATCTGGGAGAAATTGAGATTGAAGATAAATATTTTGGAATCATCAGCTTGAAGAGCTTATCTGAAATTATATATCTGAAGGAGATCACAAAAAAGTGGAAAAGAAAAATGTAGAGATGAGAAAAGATCCAAGGAGTGAGTAGTACAGCACTGCAACAAGAGAAGTGGAAGAAGAACTTGTTAGAGAGCCTGGGAAGCAGCAGCCTGGAAGGCACAAAGAAAAGCAAGGGAAGGCGTTAACAGGGAGCCAACTAAGAAGAGTTTCCAGGAGGCAGATCACCTGCCAGGTGTTGGTGATAGTCACTGCAGATGAAGACTGAGAGTTCCTTAGTGGGCTCACCATTGTGGAGGCCACTGGGGATTTTTGTTAAGAGCAGGTTGCATGCAGTTAAGTAAAGGAGTGAGATTAGGACAGAAGTGAGACATAGCGTTTCCTCAGTGCAAGTGTGCAAGGAGGGCACAATAGATCACTCTCTTCCTCTTATAAGGCTGCACATCCCACCATGTGGGCATCACCCTCAAACCCTAATCCAACACCAATCCCTTCCCCAAAGGTCCCATTTTCACAAACAGTCATGTGGAGGTTCAAGCCTTCCCATATGAATTGGTGAGGGAGTACACAAGCATTTAGTCTATAATATCATTTTCAAATCCAGAATCTTCATTCAGATTTTCAGCATCTCCTGAAGAATGAGAATATTTTTCAGCCCTCTGCCCAGATTGTAGCCTGGCACAAACTGGATGTCTGAATAGAGACTTCTTTGGGGAAAGCACATCCCTATCAGGTCACTGTAGCCACCACAACTTCCCCATGTCTTGCATCCACCTCTCCTGCTAATTTGTGCTGGATGGTTTTCAGTTTTCTGGACAGCATGGGCCAGGAGGAAGGCCTGCAAGCTGTATACATGATAAAGTTACAATGTTGAATATATATATAATATATAATATATAATATAAGTTGAATAATATATATTATATATTGAATATATATGTATTATATGTTGAATATAATATATTCAACACTGTAACTTTATCATGTATATATTATATATGCATATATCATGTATATATATGTAACTTTATCATGTATATATATATATATAGAGAGAGAGAAAGACTAAGAGAGAGAAGTGAGAGACTTGAAAACAGAATGGACACATTTTAAAAGACGTTTAGGTATAAAGGAAAGTTAGAGAAATGGTACAATGGCTTTCAGGAGAAAACTGGGTCAAAAAAAGTTTTATTTAGTAAGATCAGAGAAATGAGATGGAAAAAATAATAGCATATTTCCATTCTGATGGTCACTGGCTCTTGCCAATCTGATTACTCTGCTTTGCTACTCTGCTATTAAAGTTTTTCATAGAATAAATGAACTTGGGGTTATTTTAATAGGAAAAGAAGCTAAAGGATGTTAAAAATGCAAGTTAAGAAGTTAAAAATGAGCCTGGGGCTGGGAAATTTGGTTGGACAAAAATCGACAATCCAAACAGTTCTAAAGAAAGTGGAGAAAATAAAGATATCAGCAAGTAAAATAATAATTGTTACTCATAAGTAATAAATTGCCATGATAGAAGTTCATCATCACAGGAACTGTGCTACAATGATCCATAATTCAGTTACTGTTTCAACACTAAGGAATATATTTGCTTACAGTTTAAGAACTAATCATGCTTTTGAAAGGAGCTCTTAAAATGAAATGAAGTTTCTGGAATCAAGCTTTGCAGCCAGTGACTCACAGCTGCTAGTTGCAGGATAGTTTTTGTTAGTTCGCGCCTCTCTGTTAAGATTCTAGTGTCTCTGGATGCTGAGAAATTCAGTCTCAGTCATTTCTAAGATCCCTGGTCCACCATTAACAGGTTCAGGTGCTGCACCATCCAAACCTTTCAGGGAGTTCCTTCCGCTTTGGGTCCGTGAGCCCGTGTGGGTAAGACAACTGAGCCCCTTTGGAGATGAGGCATCTTCGTGGAGGACCCAAGCTCATGTGATTAACCTTTCTTTTTAACTAAATACGTCCATCTGCTTAATTTCCTCTATCCTGGGCAGAAAAATGGCAGGGTTAGAAGAAATAAGTGTGATTCCCTGGAAATACAACACTGTTTCACTGCCTTACACTACTTCTCCTTCCTCTAGCTAGCAAGTTTTTGCCTCTAATCCAACTAACATTCTTCCCCAACCTTCCTTGTGTATCAGTAACCTTAGGCAAATTAGGCTGCACTAATTCATGACTCCAGACTCTCAGTGGGCTTATAACACCAAGGTTTGTTTCTTGCCTTTGGTTCTATCAGTTGCAGAATATGGCACTAATTAATGTCTTCTTCAGTAGTAGATCTGTGTTGCCAGAGCTGCCTCTTATCTCATCTCATGGCAGAAGGAAAAAGAGTAATACCACAATCATGAAATGACCTTTACAGTTTCCATTTGGAAATTGCATATGTCACGTTTCTTGTCCAAGACACATCACATAAGCAAACTTGATGCTGATGGTAAAGCATGCTACTCACTGGGAGAGGTATAGAGAAATTGAGAAAAATAACACAACCATCACACTTCCCCCTTGGGGACATTTTCAAGAAACAAAATGTCAAATGTGTTTAATGGAGGTGGAGCAGTAGCAATGACAAAAGAAAAGCAGTTAGAGTTTTCTTTCTTATTAACTCAATTTGCTGTGTTAGTAAGCACTTCCATGATATGCAGATTCTAGAAAAAACTTTGAAGAATGGTTAATTCTAACTATTCTATAATACTGCCAATCAGGTTTTAATCAAGTATATAAAGCATGTTAAGTCACCCAACCCAACAATTCATGAGTCCATACTATTTTACTACCCCCTCTCATTCTTTCAGTACAGGAATTTAGACATAGAGATAAAATTGCTTGCTAAAAAAACACAAGTAATATATTGTAGGGGCAGGTTTGGGATCTTAAGTATTTAGTGCTATGTTCTGCACTCCTATCTACTGTCCAACATTACTACTGAGGATTAGACTCAGTCAGACAGTATTACAGGATCCCAATAAAACAAACAGTGGCAATTGTTTTGCTTCACTCTATACAATATTATTTCAAAGGTTGTCAGCAAAAGAGACTTTTTTTCTGTTTCCTTTGAAACTTAAAATCTTCCTGTGTTATTTTCAGATTAAAGTTCAATTAAGGTATATTGTGTTCACAGTCCAGATGTGGTGGGACAGTGGGGAAGGTTGCTGAGAGATCGAAGAAAAAAACCTATAGATGGCTGGTGAGAGATAAAATTTTTAAGACATTAACAGTAAAGGGTAGGGTTCTTTAAGACCTACTAGTAGAGAAGGCTAGAACCCAGTGGCAGGGGGCTGTACAGGAGGCCACTAGAAGATACATGGATGTCCAATGGTGGTGGTAAAGCACCAGAAGGTCAAGGAAGAGTAGACCAGGAGGGAAATCACCAGAGTTTGGTGGAGGCAAGCTGGACAGGTAAACTGCCAGAGGAAAGTCAAAGTGTCCAGTAGTGGCCAGCTAGACCACAGCACTCCACAGGGTTCCATTCCATGCCATTATTGCAGAGAGAGAGTTTTATAGATTAAACTACATATCAGTGACATCATTAGCTTGCTTTATTCCATTGTCTGACCAGCATTCCAGGAAACAGCTGACTTAGCATGTGGGCAGGAGACAGTTCCTACAGAGTGCACTGGTTGCAGTGTCCCTCCAGAGAATTATCAAGACATTCCAGTCCTGTCTGCTTACAATGTCATTGTGACTTGACAAGAGTCTTGAGAACACAAAAGACACATTTCAGAAACAAGATGCTAAATGCCCTATTTTTTGTCAGGGTCAATACGAGGGAATAAAATAGTCATGCTGTTGGACCTTCAGTAAGGAGGTTATAAGTGACCATTCACTCCTAGGAGTGAGTTATCTTTCTGGGTACTCAGCTTTTACTCACAGGAATTCCTAATCCCAAATTTAGGCCCTAATATGTCTTGCATGCCAAAAATCACTCAAAATTGTTAAAGCTATTCATGCAGACCCTTGAGCAGAAATTTCTACTTTTCGTTCACTTCCTTCCATCTTCCTTTCTCCCTCCTATACTTGATAGGAGAACAGCAGTTTATGAAAACAACAATCCCACTCCTGTTGCTACTAGGACTCGGTCCTCCTCCAGTCACCTTCCTTGTGTTGTCCTTGAGGACCATAAATGAACTGCAAGGTTTCCAGGAAGGAGTTCCACAGTGCCACATCCATGTTTTCCCTTACTTCGCACATAAGCAAGCACAAATCCCAGCCCAGACACACAAAGACACGTACAGGTGGTATGCACGCACATTCCTCTTCGCCTCTCCTTCTCTAGATCTTTCACTTTCAGAATGCTTCTTCATGAAAGGCAAAGAAAGACGAAAAAAATGTACTTCATTGAGTTGTATAGTTTATATGTAAATTTTGCATAGTACCTGGCGCACAGGATGAACTCAAGAAATGTTAGCCTTTTTTTCTTAACAGAGATAACTATTCAAACCATTTCAAAAATCTCTAAAGCTTTATTCTGAGCTACAATTTAAGAGAATATATTCCAATTCAATTAAATTCACTTAGAATGGGTTGAACTCCTAGTTTATACTATATTTCTATGAACTAAAGTCCCCATCCCAATTCTTATGCTGAAACTCTAATCTTCAGTGTGATGGTATTTGGAGATGGGGAAGTAAGTAAATCAGAAAAGTAGAACCCTTGTGTGAGATCTGGATCCTTCTAAAAGACAAAATAGACTTGCCTTCTTTTTCTTTCCCTTCCACTCCCCTCCTCTCCCCTCCTCTCCCCTCCCCTTCTCTTCTCTTCCCTATGCAAAGTCATAGAAAAAAGCTGGACATCTGCAAAACAGGAAGCAGACCCACCCCAGACACAGGAAGTAACGGTGGACTTCCCAGCCTCCAGAAGTGGGACACCACCCAGGGTATAATTTGTTAACAACGACCGACCCAAATTGACTAAGATCCATATATTGTGCTAAGTTCCAAGTCAGGTTTTTCCTCCACCTAACTGACAAATTATGTCATCTCCCAAGGCCAGTTTCTTTAGAGTAAAGGTATCTTTGAAGTCTCTCCTACCTCTTACACATTTTATTTTTGACATTATTCTCAGGGAAGTATAGTCATGACATTCAGTTTTTAATGGTCAAAGCTATTTTGCAAATTGATTCAGGAAAATACGAAAATCAATGACTTTCTCTCTGTGGTAAGTCCTAAAAGCCTGCCAGCCTTGGATAGAACTGGTGTTGAGAATGAAGAGGACAGGCTGGGGAGAAACTGTGCCACTGAGTGATTGCAGACTTTCCAGGGCAATTCTGAAAATGACATTTCAAAAATCAATTTAGTGATCCCCCTCTATCTTTTATGTCCAGGGAAGTGTACTTCCATCAGCTATAGCCTTATAAACAGGTGTAATCCAGCTTTTTATAAAAAAGCATGAGATACATTTGAATTGTCATGACTAAAAGAGCTTGAATCAACTGGTTCTTCACTGTATCAGCAGATAATTCAAAATACTCATCGCTGTTATCACTCTGCTCAAGAGATTTGAAAAGCAACAAAACACTCCGGCAAAATCCTTACCAAAAGAAACAACTGTTCAGCAACCACTGAATTATTTGCCAATGTTTTATGCGTGGAAAACAGAAATATAATTCTACTTTCTATATCCCCTCAACTGAAATATGTATTATTTGATTTTAATGTAGCCAACCTAATCTGCATGCTCTGACAAGACAAATTCCCACGGGCAGAGTTGTCTTTGACTTTTTGGAAACATTTGTGTTATTTTTACTTTTCATATATCTGCTCAGAAGAGAAAATATTTCCTCTCATTCTATTCTCAAAAAAAATTTAATTTTTAAAGCCTTGCAGGGGGAAAAGTAATAATAATACAGGTAATCAAAACATGAAACAAGGCACAATTTTGCTGTTATTTCCCAAGATTGCTCCCAGTGTAATGTTTACAAAGAGGGACTAATTCAGTAGATAAACCAAGCAACTATGCAGTGTATTAAAAACATCAAAACAACATTAGTTTGCAAATCAGTGCTGAATCTTAATGAAATCATTTCTAATAACAAAACAGAACTTACACTGGCTTCTTAGAAGAGCATGATTCTGTCTATCAAGATTAAAATATTTCCCTAGTTAGTTGTCAGGAAGAATTAATTTATAATGTGTTATATAAAACAGGTTGAAGTAGCTCCTTGGAGAGGACTATTTCATGGATATGTAACCAGAGCTGAACAATTCGAGGCCTTTACTAATGCATCAGATTTATAATAAAAGACCAATGACAGTCTTTTGGTTCACAGTATTTCTCAGTTGTGATGAGAACCATATTTTTGTGCAAAATTCTCTGCTAACACTTTCATTCCTTTCTCTGTGTGTGTGTGTTCTATGTATAAATAATAGCCAAATTAAACAAGCACAAATCTCTAGCTAACCACACAACTGAAACTGAACAGGCAGGAGCCACATGGTCCATTCTCAACTTCTTTCTACCTGCTAGACAGGTGAGTCAAGGGCGTGTGGGGTATGTGTGTGTGTTGGGAGAAGACAAAGTGTTTAAACAAATATAATGATAAACACAAAGGTCTAGAGTCAAGGAAACTATGGTGTCCTTGAAAAATTGCAAAATTTGGCCAAACTAATGCAAAGGAAAGTACCAGTTTGTAAATGGACTGACAAAAGCTGGGAAATACAAATTTGCAGCAGAATTCTGAACACACACACACAAAACATGTCATTATATTTCTAAATCCTGAAAAAGACCTGAGCACTCATCTAAGGATTCAGGGCTATCTATTTTCAGTCACATTTTTGTGAACCTTTCCTTTCCTTTACATGAATTCTAGAGTATCTCTATACCAGAGAAGTAGAGGAGGAATCTCAATGCTTCATTTATTTGACCTGCTGCTCTCTTGGCTTTGAATTTCACCCCAACTGAAGGCAGCAGCATCTCTGAAGCCACAGTGC